AGTTAACGTATCCTTTCAACTATGGAAAGTTTGACGGTTGAACTTTGTGAGTTAAACAATGATTGGAAGCGAAGTGCGAATGTAAAAAGGAACATCGTCGCATCCATTCGACCATATTCCGAAATTCTCAATGAAAGAAAACAAAAATGTAAACAATTAAAGATGGATACTTTTTCCGAAAAATGTAAGAGATCCGAAACTAAAATTTTTAATAAAAACATTTAACTTTATTTTATGATAAAATACATTTTAAAAATTAAATTTATTTGTACTTTGTATTATATTGTATTAATAAACAAAATTATTTGCGTATTTTTCACTTATGTGGAACCTAACCCTATACCTCAGTGTAAATATGGGTTCGTTTTACGCCGATTCGATTTGCGCCGGCTTTTGTAGGAACGGAACTGCGGCGTAAACCGAGGGATACCTTGTATATTATTATAAATGTTTCTTATAAGTTTTTAGTTAATTAACTGTATTTCTTCTATTGATTTTATATCTTCCATTGAGATGTTAATTAAGCACAAAAGTTTCTTTTTGTGGAAAAATGAATGTAAGTTCTGTAATCTATAGGTACAATACGCTAGTTTGGATCAATTTATTTAATATTTATCAAAACTAAACGTTTCATTTTTAATTAATGATGGAAAATTCATTACGACAATAAATTTTTAATTTTGAGTTTAATTGAATTCTAATTGCACTAAGGGACTTCTCTCACTTGTTCAAAATTTTCGTGAAAATTTTAAAGTACAGTAGAGCATCGATTATCCGACTCAATTGGGGACTGAGGTTGGTCGGATAATTGAAAAGTCGAATAACCAAAAAGTATGAAAAAATCCATTATTAGTCTAGTATATTATTATATCCCATGTAATTAGTATATTAGTATATCGCTATTAACCTACTTCGCGTTGAATTTTCTTCCATGATAAGCCTATCAAATTTTTTAAAAAAATAATAATCGTCGCTATTGTATCGTTAAAAATTAGAAAATTAAGCCTCGTTTAAATACTGGCTCCCTTTCATGGTGGATCCAGTGTTGCCAGCTAAAACACGTAAAAATAATATTAAAGTAGCCAAGACATAGCCAAATATTGTAGCGCAACATCACTAGCGGACATTTGAATTTGCCGACTAGAACGTGGTCGGTTAACCGAAGTGACGGTTAATCAGGGGTCGGATAATCGATGCTCTACTGTAATTTTATATTTAGAAAATAGATTTAATGCTGTCCGATCTTTCAGGTGGTTTTTGCTTATTTAAGATTATATTGTGTGAGGTAACGCAACGTAACACGAGAGCAATTTGCCAAGGAGTGTATCTGCAGGAAGAGATTTTTTATAGGAAGGTGACTCTTGTGTTTAGGTGTTCGACGCGGACAGTAAATTCGGAAAACTTCACGTGCCTGCAGTTGATCAGGCAAAAACCCGAAACCAGCTATTATGTGGTTTTATATCAACTCATCTTGTGAATAAAATAATATGAAGTTCTTGTGTTGTGTTATATGATAAAGGAATAGGTTTACAAAATTCGAGTATTATATTTTTTATATGAAATTAAATTGACGATGTTAAAGGAGAAAAATGAACTCATTTCGCTTCGTTGTCTGCTGTTGAATGTGTATAAGTTGTGTGTCGCAACAAATTAATAACCGCATAATAACAATATAAAACTAACTTTTTTTGTTACAGGCTAGTAGGTCAACGAATATCAAAGGCTATCTCTTTGATATTCTAAGTGGTACAGTACATTGTGTAATCTTCGTTACCGAACTTGGCATTCTGCAAATTTTAATGGCCTGCAACGTGATAATGATGACTCATAATATTTTCAAAAAACCCAAATTAAGACTAATTTAAAATGGATCAATAACTAAACTGCTATAATGCTAGTGTTCTCTGCTTTTACCTTCTATTCGTATGTATTTCCACAAGCAAAGGAAAAACATTTACCACGTATTCATTTTCGATTAAAAGGAAGAAAAAGGATAAAAGAGAAAAGGGCTTTATTCTTAACCTCTTATAGTAAAAATTAAATTATTCCGAAATAACATCAATTGTATTTGGTAACAAAACAAAAATAGTCACTTAATAATAGTAATACAGTACAATTTTTCTGCACGATTGAATTCTACGTCAAATATATGATGTAACATATACATAAATTTTATTTTTACGAAACATTTTAACATATTGTACGAAGGAAAAGGTACGTAAAATTAGAATATCGTAACATCTTTGTGTTTTAAATATTTATTTTTATAGGAAATAT